CTTTTAGAAAGTTCACTTTACACCTCTTGACTTTTACAAAAGACCTACATTAGTACCAGTTTTTGCTAAGAGGATTTTCCCTTCACCAAAAAAAAAAAAAAGAAGAAGAAGAAGATAAAAAAAAAAGGGAAACTAACATTCAACATTTATTTTGCAACAAGCAGTTAAAGAGGCAGCATACGCCTCCAGCAGCAGTGAGAGTGGCGTCTCGCCAGGCTCCTTCCATGGGTACTACACTCAGCTTCTCAGCATCAAGTTGCCGTAGCTTTGAACTATGTCTGTGAACACTATATGTTAGTGTTATTTTAGGTTTTATGTGTTATTTGATATAACTTGGTAGGTTATTTTTGAGGTCTGGAAATGCTCATAAATTTTTCCCATATAACTTAGTAGTAATTGTGTTTTCACTTTATGGCATTTTGGCTTCGGTAAAGTTTCATAGAAACACTTACTCTAGTGGGAAAAACATGTACAGGAGTCCCTAGGCAGTGCAGACAGTTAAGTGCTCAGCTACTATCCCAGAGGTTGGTGGTTCAAAGCCACCCAGAGGCACCTCACCAGAAAGCCCTGGAGGTCTACTTCCAAAAGATCACAGCCGCTGAAAACCCTATGGAGCACAGCTCTATTCTGATACACATGGGGTTTGCAATGAGCGGGAATCTGTTACAGGGCAAATAGTTGGGTTTGTTCTAATGTATGTGGTCCCCAGTAACGGGGTGCAGTGGTTAAAGCATTCAGCTGCTAACTGAAAGATCTGTGGTTGGAACCCACCAGCGTCTTTGTGGGAAGATGAGTCAGTCTGCTTCCATAAAGATTTACAGCTTTGGAAACAATGTGGGGCAGTTCTACTTAGTCCTATAGGGTCACGACAAGTCAGAATTGACTCATTGGCAGTGGCTTTTTGGGGCTTTGTCTCTGTATGGTGCAAATGGCTTAGGACTACTGAAAGAGTGGCAATTCAAACCCATCCTGAGGCACCTCGGAAGAAGGACCTGGCAGTTTGCTTCTGAACGATCACAACCTTACAAAACCTGTGTAATAGATCTACTTTGGAACACGTGGGGTTGCCATGAGTTGGAATTGGCTCAATGGCAACCAGTTTGGTTTTGGCATATACACAGGCATACCTCATTTTACTGCACTTCAGTTTATTGTACTTTGCAAATACTGAGTTTTTCAGAATTGAAGGTTAATGGCAACCCTGCATCAAGCAAGTCTGTCGGCACCATTTTTCCAACAGCATGTGCTCATTTCATGTCTCTGTGTCACATTATGGTAATTGTCACAATATTTCAAACTTTTTCATATTCTTAATCCTATTATACGCTTAATAGACTATAGTACAAAAATAACTTTTATGTGCACTTGGAAACCAAAAAAGTAGTATGACTCACTTTATTGAAATATTCACTTTATTATGGTAGTCTGAAACCAAACCTGCAGTATCTCCAAGGTATGCCTGTGTGTGTGTTTGTGTGTGTGTGCATAGATATATATCTGCAAATACCTCAAATAAATAGATTTTCACCCAAGTGCCCTCCACAATTGTTTCAAATTATCCACAATACAAGGCGGCCGGATTTCTCTAAATTAAACAAGTGCCTTGGGCCTCTAGGAGATACCAGCTAGTATATTACTCAGTGCTCCTGCATTTTAGTTTTTCTAAAGCCTGACAGTAATGAGTGTAGCTTCTCCACTTCAAACCAAGTGGTTAAAAACCTCAGTAAAACAGAAGATGTAGGCTCACTTTTGTTTTGACTTATTTGACTACGATCCCAACAAACTTAAATCATTACTTGAGTTCCAGAAAGAGTGTGCATCTCTTGAGTACTTACTTACCTTGAAATAAATCATCACAGTTAGCATCTCTGTTTTTGGAATAGGCATGTTGAAAAGAGGAGCAAGATAAGAGTCCAGCTGATGTTTGAAGCTACTTCTAATGGCCTGTACTCTACTTTTCCTTTAACTATGAGCTCTCACTTTCTTACTTCTATCTCCCAACACATACACAGACCAAACGTAGCACACACAGACACCAATGGATGCACACACATACCTAATACAGGAACACACACAGAAATACACCCCAGCACACACACAGACACAGACCAAACACAGGTACATGCACAGACACCAGCACACGGAGAGGACCACACACATGCACACCACAGAGTCTCCTGTACAGACCACAACATTCCCTTGCTGAAAAATCTCAAGGTCTTGGTATATATACATTTTTCCCTAGTCACATTACAAGAAAATCAGCTGTATAAAATTTACTTCATTCCCTCTGGAGCTAAGACTGGACAGATATTGATGGTGTGTGTTGTTGTTGTTATGTGCCATCGAGTCAGACCTGACTCATAGCGACCCCTCCTTGGGTTGCCGAGGCAGTATCACTACGGAAGTAGATTGCCCGACCTTCCTTCCAAGGAGTGGCTGGTGGCTTTGAACTGCCAGCCTTCTGGTTAGCAGTCAAGTGCCTTAGGTACTATGCTACCAGAGCTCCTTTTGATGATGTAGGGCCTGTTATTTATTTATGTATTTATTTATTTTTGTCATTGTTTCCTTACTCCAGTGTAATCTTGTTGTTGTTACATACCATCGAGCCGGATCTGACTCATAGTGACCCCTCCTTGGGTTTCCGAGGCGGTATCACTACGGAAATAGATTGTTCAACCTTCCTTCCAAGGAGTGGCTGATGGGTTTGAACTGTCAAACTTCTGGTTAGCAATCTCGTAGCCAAGGTTAAGTCTCATCCTGTCTGGCTCTTATGGGAATCAGGGCCTCACTGCTTTGTAAGTATTCCTTATAGAACAGCTGTAATGCCAGCCAGGGAGAACAGAAGAGCAGTGTTTGCACAGGGAGATAGCTGGGGGTTGGGGGGGACGGAGTGCAGGGGAGGGAAGGACACAGGGAAGAGGTGACTATAGGGAGGAAGTAGGAAGAGAGCTGTTACACTGTGGGCAATTTCAGTCAATGTCATGAAACAAAATGTGTAGGAACTGCTGTATGGACAATGAATTTGCTTGTAAACTTTCACCCAAATCACAACAAAAATTTTAAAAAAGGAAAAAGCTTTAATGGCTCCCAACACATACACTAAGTCCAATGCACACATCAAATGCACATTCAGAAGTAAGCCTTCTCTTGATAGGTGACTTCCTTCATCCTACAGGTAACTCACTACCCAGCACATTAGTATAGGTATGGTGGTAGTCTACTCATTGTCTCTTCACAGTGAGTCTCGTGCCTTCTACTTCCTGCCAGACTCAGCTTTCCCAGGTGATTTCTGGAAGTAGCACCACTCTGAACTTGTCGCACCCTTCTTTAATAAAATGGCCTGTCAACTTCATGGGCAATGTGAGGATATATTAAATTTAAGGAGAAATATTCAAGCACTCCATCGCCTCTGAACCAAGTCCAAATTTCTCGGCTGAGAATTCAATGATTCTACAACTGGTCTCCTGTGTGCCTTCCCAACTTACTGGCTCCCCACCTCTCAGATGAAGCAATTGAAGCTTATGAAGGTTAAGTAACTTGCCCTAAATTACCCAAAAAGTAAAGATTTGAAACTAGGCCTATCTGATTCCAAGCTTCATGTATTTAACCACTTCATGAAACCATCTTCCAGAAATCTCTGAACCAAGCTAGACTTCTCTTATTTTTCTGAACAGGTTTTTCTCTTTCCTATCTCTCTGCCTTGCTGTTTTCTGTATATAAACCAACCTATCCCTTTTTCTTCCCTCCAAATAACCCTGCTTGTGTAAATCTTAAGCAGTCTTCAAGATCAAGCTGAATGGCACTTACTCCAAGAAGACATCCATGATTACATCAGTCAAGCATGGAATTCTCTCTCCCACTCAAGGTTCAGATGTCTCCAACAGCCCTATTCTACATCATATTCTAATTGCTCTGTGCACCTGTCTTCATTCACCACTGCCTCCACTTCCCACCACTGTTAACTATGTCAAAAGCTTTTTAAAGGCCATCTTCCACCTTGTATTCTCCACAATGCTTTGCACAAGCAGTAGCTCCATAAATTCAGCCAAATGAATTAACAATCAATCATCTGCCTCTTTCCCTGTAATGAATAGTTCATGTATTGGTAAGCAAAAATGTAGGATTGTTAAAACTCAGTCTTTCTCTAAGGCTCCCACTTTCCCAAAATGAAATTTTTAAAAAATAGTTTAATTTACTTTTCGGTATCTAGTCCAATCATTTCATGATAATTTTTCCTCCTTTGAATTTTATCTAATGGCAGAAAACCCAACCCTTTCCAGGTATAATCTCCCACAACTACTTCATTTTCATCTTATCTTCAATGCCACCTTCTTCAGCTTTTCAGGTCAGTCCAAATTATTACACTCAAGGTCTCTGAGAAAAAATGCAATGCCTTAGTCATCATTACATTCCCAGCACCCAACAGTGCCTTAGTGGCAAACAATGTTTGAAGAATGCATGAGTAAACGAAGGCCTGGAAGCTGTGTCAGAGCTGATGTAGTCATAGTTCTCTGTGACATGTTGTCACATGTGCCCTCGATTCAGACCTGACTCATAACGACCCCTCCTTGGGTTTCCAAGGCAGTATCACTACGGAAGTAGATTGACTCATCTTCCTTCCAAGGAGTGGCTGGTGGGTTTGAACCACCAGCCTTCTGGTTAGCAGTCAAGTGCCTTAGCCACTATGCTACCAGAGCTCCTGCTCCGCAGCATAATAAGTCACAATTTGGCAGATCTCACATCATCCTCACTACAACCCTATGAGGTAGACATTATTATTATTATCCCCACTATGGAGGTTGTGCAAGGCTAAGGAACTTACCCTTGGTCACATATCTCATAAGTGATGAAACCAGGTTTAAAGCCAGGTCTGTTTGATTCCAGATCTGTATTTTTTAACGAAAAATCTCTCAGGTTGGAATGCAACCTTCATTGCCCTGCCCTGGGTCAAGTTGAGGGACCCTAGGTGTGACAGTGCTAATAAACACACCCTGAGGCCTGCTTAGGATCTGTAGCCATTTGACTGGGAAGATCTGAAATAAGTGACAAGGAAGGTTGAGAAGAGAGAATAGTGTGGACAAAGAATGTATGTGTGTAAGGGGAATGTAGTGCGTGTGGTGTGTGGAGGAGTATTTATGTTTGTGTGTGTGGTGTGAGGGTATAATGGGGGGAGGTGTCTGTGGTTTGGGGGTATGCAGTATATGATGTGTGCATGCTGTATGTGTGTGTTGTGGGGGGGTGTATCTGTGCTGTGTGTATAAAATGTGTGCTGTGGTGTAAGGGATGTGTAAGGGAGTGTTGGAAGTGTGTGTGGGCTGTGATGTGTGTGGGCTGTGTATATATGATATGTGTAGATAAATGTGTCTGTGTGAGGGGAGTGTGGAGGAGATGTGTGGAGTGCATTCTGCATGTGTTATATATGTGCGTCACGTGTGTGAGTGTATGTGCCTGTGGTATGTGTATGTGTGTGGAGTGTGTATGTGGAGAGTGTGTGTGTGTATGTGTGTGTGTGGTGTGGTACGTGGGATGAAAAGGGCTGTGTGTTTGTAGAAAACAGTATTGAACTCTAAAAATGCAAATAACTGGGAGTCACATTTAGACTCCAATTCTAACCAGACCCTTAACATCTGAACAAATTTCACAAGCCACTTACTGTCCTGAACTTGTTTGCTGTAAAGTGGCTGTCACAAGTACACCAATGTTCATGGCTATTCACAATAACCAAAGGCTGGAAACACCCAAGTGTCCATCAATAGATGAAGAGATAAATGAAGTGTGATACATACATACAATGGAATATTACTCAGCCATAAAGAGAAATGAAGTTCTGACACATGCTACAATATGGATGAACCTTGAGAACATTATGCTGAGTGAAATAAGCCAAACACAAAAGGATAAATATTGTATGGTTCCACTTCTATGAAATATCTAGGATGGATAAATCCATTGAGACAAAGAAAATTAGTGTTTACTCTAGTGCCTAAGGCACTTGACTGCTAACCTGAAGGCTGGCGGTTCAAACCCACCAGCCACTCCTTGGAAGGAAGGTTGGGCAATCTACTTCTGTAGTGATACTGCCTCAGAAACCCAAGGAGGGGTCGCCATGAGTTGGGTCCAACTCAACAACACATAACAACACAACAACAGGGGATGAGAGGGAGGAATAGGTGGTTTAAAAAAAATGGCGAGTCAGCCTCATGGGGCCATCTATTATTACATATAACATTCAAGAAGAAACAGCTATGAAAGTCTCAATAGATGCAAGGCACTGCACTCATGAGTAGAGAAGTAAAAAAGGAAAATAAGTAGTGGTTCTTGATTTTAAAGAGTGTCCAGTCAGATAGGGGAGACAGATATACAAAATCAACTCCAATTTATGGAGAATGGAAGATGTATGGCGGTGATAATTAACATCTGTTGGGCTCCTGCTACATGGTGGACTGAAGCAGATTGAAAGACTTTAATCTCACAACAACCATGTATGGTTCTGTGATCAGCCCAATTTTATAGATGAGAAAACTGATGTGTTGAAACTTTGAACCTTTTGGAGGAATCCTCAAGACTGTTGCCCTTGAATACTCTTTAAACCTGGAACCAAATCTGTCCTCTGAAGTCACCTTTTTGACTAAATAGCAGGTTAGCTCAAAAAGTAAAGAATGTCATCCTTGAATACCATGCTTAAAAAAAAATACATTAGATCAAATGGGTAATAATTACTTTAAAGCACAAATGAGATGGTGTGGGAGGGAGTGAGACTGTTGTTGTTGTTACGTGCCGTCGAATCGGACCCAACTCATAGAGACCCCTCCTTGGGTTTCTGAGACGGTATCACTATGGAAGTAGATTGCCCAACCTTCCTTCTGAGGAGTGGCACTAGATTCATTGTAATGGAACAGCGAATGGAAATGATGAGAATGTTTACACAATGTGAAGAATGTAATTGATGTCACAGAACATTAGTAGAAATTGTTGAACAGTGTGCTGTGAAGGATCGCTTTTATACGGCCTGTCTCACCATGGTCTTGTAACTCCCACAAAATGACTGGGTAGGACTATGTAAATGAGGTGCTTATGGCCCACCAAGGAGATTGGACAGCTTGCTAATAATGCAAATAAGGTGCATGGCACTTTTGTTGGGGTGAGACCATGCAAATAAGGTGTATGGAACCCTAACAGAGGATTGGTCAGTTTTGCCTTCCCACCAGGCTTAAAATGACCCATCCCAGAGGTAGAAATGGGGATCTCACTACCACCAAGAAGAGAGGAGAGTGGAGAGTGTCCTTTCGATCTGGGGTCCCTGCACTGAGAAATTCCTAGACCCAGGAGTCACAGAGAGAGCTGTAACACAAGGTGCCGTAAGACAGTGAGAAGCGGCAGCCAACCAGCTGTAGCAGCAGAGCAAGGAGACTGGCACAAGACATTGCAGCGGGCTTCCCTCCCAACAAGACAGTCACAGCGGGTGCGTTGACCCATGGACCAAGAAAACGGAGTGCCTTGGACAGGAGGCTTCCTGGTGGAGGGGTGTGCTTCTGGGACTTGTTGAAGGAGCTAGGCTTGCTGACCCACAGAGGGAGAGAGTTGAGCACCTTGAGCCTGGAAGCTGAGGCTTGCTGAGCAGATAGGGTGCCCCCAGGCACTTATTGCCAGAGCTAAAGAGCTTTGTAACACTTGCTGGACCAGGTCAGAGGCCAGGCCAGAGGGCCCAAGGCCAAAGAAAGGCCTGCCTACAGTCATGGCTGAGAAGAGGCCATCTTGATCAAAGAACAGTATCCGAAGTCATCCTGATCCTGAATTGCAACTCATTACTTCCCTAATAAACCCCGTAACTGTGAGTATTGTTGTGAGGTCTTCATGGCCATTGCAATGAATTATCAAACCTTGCAGAAACATGGACAGTGCTGTGAAATGACCAGCTGGTGTCGGAATGGGTAAAAAAAAAAAAGTTGGAGGGTAGAGGAATGTTTGACCTTCACCTCACAGCAATCAGCCCTCAGCTGTCGATTCTGAGAGTGATTCTCTTTCCCCTAATGAAGTTAGATGAGACTGCCTGATGCTGTCACCATGCCTGTTACAATTGGAGCCATTTTTGTGTTTTACACATGAGAACCTGTTTTGTTGCACATACTTTCACCAAAACTACAATAAAATATTAGGGAGGGGGGATAAAAAAGTTGAACCTTTAACTGCTGCAAGGATACACTGATGTTAAATGGCACAGTCAATATGGAAGCCTCGAACTGTGTAACTCTTAGCACCGCCCTGTACTGCCCCCTTGAGCAATTCAAAGATACACAGTAATAGGAACCTTAGCTTTCAACTTGGGGAAAAGAGCTGAAGTCAACATTAACAGAGCTGGCAGAAACCTTTTGAAACTGTGTCACTTTAGCACTCTCTGAGGCCCCATGGGAACTCTGGTGGTGTAGTGCCTAAGGCATTTGACTGCTAACCAGAAAGCTGGTGGTTCAAACCCACCAGCCACTCCTTGGACAACCTACTTCCATAGAGATACCATCTCAGAAACCCAAGGAGGGGTCGCT